AAAACAATTGTCGAAACACTTCGTGAGCGCACACTTTGTACTGTAAAAGTAGCTACATTCGAGGGTCTACCTATAGTAGAGCAAGTTCGTCTTGTTGCCACTGCAACAGTTTTTGTTTCTGTTAGCGGCTCTGGCGCTCAACAGTTCATATGGCTCCCAGATGGTGCGGTATCTTTAATTATTATACATCCACAACAGCCATTGAATGTGATTGGTCACGGTGGAATAGGTGGAGGTGGACTAATATTAAACGACTTCCTATGCTGGAAACTTCCCACGATCCTCTGTCTTCAGGCTGGAGCCAAAGGCATACAACCGAGAGAGGATGGCAGGAACAGTATCGAAATAGACATGAAGTTATTTTCGAATGCATTAGACATGATTAAAATGTGGCATCACAGGGGAAAATTTGATCCACGGGATCCAAGCGAGTAATAGTCACCATTAGAATAGATTTTGAAAATAAATGTATTTCTTATATCGGTGATCCTAAAATGTTTGCAACATTTTCTATTTTGTTTAGATCTCGGCTCCGACAAATGATAGAACCTTGTTTTTTTAAAAGATGCGTCTTGAAATGCTCCTGAGGGTGTGGGCAAGGGGGAAAAATCTCATTCGGGCATTCGGATCCATTCTCATCCATTCCCTTCCATTCGCAAGCATTCTCTTCCATTCTCAACCATTCCTAACCATTCTCTTCCATTCTCATCCATTCCCATCCATTCGCATTCATTCCCCATCCATTCCCATCCATTCGCATTCATTCCCCATCCATTCGCATTCATTCCCCATCCATTCCCATCTATTCCCATCTATTCCGAATTATTGTTATATATTCAGAATTTTAAAAAATCAGATATGAGCGATTAAAAGTTGTTTTGCTCTTTAGATGCTTAATTTGCAATTAAATCGGTGTAGATAAATCTTGAACTAAGTCAGTACATATTTCAGAAGTGATAGTATCAAATTCCTTAAGAATCAATAGATTCTATTCATCTTGACATCATGCGGAAATTCCTTTATATAAAATCTAAAACCAATTTTATTTAGTACCTGAACATGAAGTTCTTATAAAACATGAATCAAATAATAAAACGTTTGTTGTGAACAATATTCAAACAACTAAACAATTTATCTAATTAAGAATGTACGTTTAATAAATATCAGCTATTTAATATTTATTCAAAACTATACTTTTACATAGTTTATATAAATAAAAACATAGGATATTCAAAAATCACACTCCTACAATTTACTATAAAAAGTGACTATAATAAAACTAACATTTTATGCTCTAAACTACTTTTTATTTATCTTGTCTTTTTTTGGTGGATTTCGAGTTGACCATAGATGAATTATTATGAATACGTTTTCTTTTCGATTTATTTGATAAGTTAGTGTGTTCACTAATTGTAGTATAATTCGAAATAAATGAATCTGTACGTGTATTTATTGCATCGAATAATATTGTTGACAAGTTATCTGTAATTCTGTTTATAGCAGAATCTTGTGTAGTTGAGTTGTTGCTGTTGTTACTATCAATTACTGGTGTTGATGATAGTATAACTACATTTTGTTTTTTTTGTTGTTGATGATGATGTTTCTTTTAACACTTTTCATGTTTTTCTTTTATTGCATTAAATAAATTATCTAAATTAAGTTTCACACCTTGTTTAATGACTAAATCACCACGGTTGCATTCAAAACAAGCATCAGCTTTTATTTTATTTATTTCATCACAGTCAAGTTTAAGAATATCTAACAAGTTTCCTGATCTAATTAAACATCGAGCATTTCTGTGATGACTTGATTCTGATCAGGGAAACAAACAATGAGAGAGAACACACTCCACCAAAGCAAAAGCAATGTCCTTATATACTCATATGTGTATGACTCAAGAATCCTCATCGCACGGGTGGAACTCAGAAATCTCAGACATATACATATGAGTTAGTAATTTCTTGACTCATGAGATATTACGGCGAGTGCCTTGACAATTTCGTATACCTTGAAGACGTAATATATTAGCTTCGACTTTGCCGCATACCTCTCCTACAAAATCGTAAAAGCTGTCGTTTGATTTAAACAAAACGTCATCTTACAAGCTATATAAATGGCATGTATCCATTAATTTTCTTCACAAACCACTTTTACATTTAATGAGTGCTTTGAAATTTATCTTTATAAAGGTCCTTATTTTCTTTTTCTCTGTCGTGGCATACATAATGGCGAAGGAGAGAAAAAGAAGAGGGATATAACCGCAGAAAGACAACACGTAATATATGATCAGACTCCCATATTTTTAAAGAACGATAACGTTGCGTTTATCGAACATAAAATGTGAATGTATGTCTTACATAGTGTAACAAATAGCTACCGGCCTTATTCTTTTTTATACAATACACAGCTTCGATATTATACTTTGAAATCAAGTTAAAAGTTAGTTCCCATTGATTAGCAATCAATTTTATATATTATTTTAGTGTAAATAATAACTATATACTAGGATTAAAACATGACAGACATTCAGTAGTCACATAATTTATATTATCGCCCATTTAACGTACGAAATGCTTTGGATATACTTCGGATAGTTTTCAACCATTCCGATCTATTCTCATCCATTCTCATTCATTCCCTTCCATTCTCGCTCATTCTCATCCATTCTCGTTCATTCTCGTTTATTCTCATCCATTCCCCATCTATTCGCATTCATTCGCATCCATTCGGAATGGCTGCGAATGAGATTTTTCCCCCTTGAGTGTGGGTGTAGACAAAAAGAACATCCACACCCACACCCACCCACCCAACTTCTCTGCACTCAGCTTTCGTTGTTGAACTTTAAGGAAGTATTTTCAGAAGTTGGAAAAAAACACCAAGGAGAAAATATTCCGTACTTTAAAAATGGTCGGTTTTTCGAGAAAAATGAAGGCTTCCGAATTTTTTGTATTTTTCAAGTGGAAAGAAGCATTTGTAGACGCTAAAAAGTAGTATATGGTGATCAACAGCTCTTATTCTTTCAAACGATGTAAAAGGAGGCAAAAAAGCTTTGTTACCTGGAGCATGGTTTACCTGTACCTTACTATTATATAAAAACATTTTATATTATGAAATTCCTACCATTGCATTCATGACTGAGAATAGTGGTAACAGTGAGTTTGATAAATCTATCACGTAGTGAAATAGCGAGGAAGACTTTTTCGAAATGAGGATAACATAATTTTTAGTGTGTTTCTACTAGTCGTAAATTATTTCTGCAATTGTGTAGTAATACAAGTCGTTTGTCAGTGTTTTAGAAAACTTGGATTTGGACAAACATCGTATTACAGTTTTTTATGAATCAACGGAGAAAGTATCTTATACTACTAGCTATAATAGTTTGTAGCATTTTGGGAGGATTTCGCGTTGGCCATATGTCGTCACATTCCATACTCGAGCTTTTCGGCACAGAAGGACCAAGCTTTTTGTTAAACCCACAGTTGTTGACATCTTCAATGGATATTGCTATTATTGGTTCTTCTGGATATATCGGCTCACGGCTCTTTCATCACCTGCAAGCAGAAAAAGCGTGGACCGTCGTTGGTTATGATCGCATCTTCGCAGGACAAGCGAGTTACGAAATAACAACTCGAAACCTGCGTCACTTTAAGGTACTAATCTATTTGGGTGGACTAACGGGCCGTGCAATGTGCCGAGAGCGCCCTGGTGATGTGGAACAAGAGAATGTTATAGACATCTATAATCTGGCAAAACGTATGTCATCCTCGCAGCTTCTAATATTTGCTTCTACATCTGCAATCGCCGAGAGTTCTGGTCCCATATTTGTCAAGGAAGATTCTCCTGTTCGATCTGACTTACTTGATTCATATGCCTCTTCATTGTTGCGTCGTGAAAACACACTTCGAAATCTAAGTTTCATATCGAAGAGAGCACCTAAAATGATTGGCCTACGATTTGGTACGGTCGTCGGTCTTTCTCAAAGTCAAAGGATTGATCTTGGATATATGGCATTGGTCTGCCAGGCCTTTCTCAGTGGCAGAATGCATGTAACTCATCCAGAAAGTAATCGAGCCATTCTATGCATGGAAGATTTACTGCGAGCAGTCACAGCTCTAATCAAACACTCTAAGAATACTAAAAGATATGATCTATTCCATCTTCAGTCATTTTCAGCTAGTATCTCAAATATTGCTAACACGATTGCGTCTCGTACAGGAGCGCATAGTCATGTGTCGAATCATCCTATCAGCGAAGACAGTCCCGGCTTTGCCTTGAATACTAGCAAGTTTTGTACCACATTTAACTTCAGCTTTCAGGGCAGCCAAGATCAGGTAATAACGAGGCTTATAGAAGATGTGCCAAGAATGTGCTTAGGTCGGCAATCACGCTCTGACAAGCATTCTAGACCATGTGTAGTCTGCGGTTCACACGAGATGCATACGGTATTAGATTTGCATACTCAACCACTTGCGAATGATTTTCGAAACCGAGTCGAAGAATCAATCAAATGTGAAAGATTTCCACTCCGACTAGTACGATGTCCTAAGTGCCACCATACACAACTATCATATTTTGTAGATAGGTCTTATCTATTCAGCCACTATCTATATCAAAGTGGTACGAGCCAAAGCTTAAAAGCTCATTTTGAGTGGTTGGCTGAGAGGATAGTTAATGAAAGTGGCAAGTCAAACGGGACTGTGCTGGAAGTGGCATGTAATGATGGTAGTCAATTAAATCAGTTCTCGAAACGTGGATGGCACACTGTGGGTGTCGATCCCGCCAAGAATTTGGCAGAACTTGCACGGGCACAAGGTCACATAGTCTACACCGGATTCTGGGGTGTTGATAACTTTCCATTGCTACCATCGCCTGACACCTTAGATGTTATCATCGCGCAAAACGTTTTTGCGCATGTTGATAATCCTGTGCGGTTTCTCCAGGCTTGTGTCGTCGCAATGAGTGTAAAAACTAGATTGTTTATACAAACGTCACAATGTGAAATGTACGAAACTGGGCAATTCGATACTGTCTATCATGAACATATATCTTTTTTTACAGCACATTCATTTAGAAAAATTGCTGATATAGCAGGATTAAAGATTGTCAATTTTGAAATCATACCCATTCATGGACGTTCATGTTTGGTAACATTTCAGCGAACGGAAATATCCAGTACTTCCTTGAACACTGTCTTTCAAAAAAAAGATGCTCCGTCGCTTTCGTTAGCAATCCAAAAAGAGCGTAATCTGGGAGTTACAGAAACTTGGTTTTATGTGAAATATCAGGCGCAGGCCGAAGCTATGCGCCGATGGCTTCTACACCAACTAACAACTGTTCACAGCCAAGGTCACACTATTGTAGCCTACGGGGCTGCCGCTAAAGGTATGGTACTTTTGCATTTCTTACTAGGATCTCCCAATCGATCATGGAATATATCTTATGTGATTGATGATGCGCCTTTGAAACAAAACACTTATTGTCCTGGAACATCTATACCGGTATTTCCTACTACCCACTTGAGTAAACATAATTCAAGCAAACCGCTGACAATAATTGTGTTTGCATGGAATTTTTGGGACGAAATTTCTAAAAAAATTCGCAAAGAAACAGTCGACAATGGCATTAAAACTGTTTTTATTATACTTCCATTTCCTCATCAACAACTTGTTAAGCTCGAGCCAAACACGAACGTGATACTTACGCAAAATACACACAGATCATTACCTTGGCCATCTCTAATTTTTTCTGTACGAAGGCCAGTACTGTTAATTTCCCACTTTTTCAACGAAGAAATCTTGTTACCTTTTTGGATTCGTCATCATGCACCTATGTTTGACATGGCCATCCTAATTGATTACAATAGTACTGATAGATCATTAGAAATTATTCGCAGAGAAGCGCCATACACGTGGAAAATTGTGCCGTCGCATAATGCACAATTCGCGGCTGACCGTGTCGATGTTGAAGTTCAAGAATATGAAAAAATGTACCCGGCAGCATGGAAGATCGCTCTGAATACTCCAGAATTTCTTGTTCATTCAGATCTTCGACAAGCGCTTGCTGGCATAGAACGCTCTAGTTCTATCATGGCATTGCGCTTTCATTCTATACTAATGTCCGGAAATGATTCTATACCGTTGCAACGATTTACGTCTTTATTGAAGCAGCGATCTCAGTATCTTTGTAAAACAAGCAAATCCGATACTTTGTTCACCTCTCGCTACATACATCGTTATTCGTCTGCTCAATATACTGTTGGACGGCACTCAATAAGTGGTAGCGTCTGGGAATGGTCTCCTGTTGGCTTTATTGCCAAATTTCAGTATACGCCGTGGCCTGAAATTATCAATCGCAAACTTCAAATTCGTGCGCGGATTCCGGCTAGTGATTTTTCTCGTGGTTGGGGTTTCCACCACAATATTAACGTCACCCAACTATCGGAAAAGAAAACCAGTATTGAACGACTGGTACAGTGCGATCTTCGACATTATGATGCGATAAATGACGAACTAATGATGATTCATCGCCTGTGGAAAGAAGTAGTAGATCACTAAGATACAGAAGATTATTAGACAATACACCCACTATACGACTCACAAAGGAAGGCCCTTAGGTGCGTTTAAATGATTTCAACAGAAATGATGTGAGTCTGTTAGCTCAAGTATGTTACTCTCCAGTATGAAATATTTTCTGTGCTTAGACTATGGTTGGCACATTTACTTTATTTTGAGAAATGTATCAAATTGACGGCAATTTTGAATCTACTCATTGAAGAGTAAAATATAAAACGTTATTCAATAAATAATAGTTTAAAGAATATAATACTATTAATTTTAATTTTATTAACAATTAAGTCGACGTTTCGACAGATATTTTGCCATTTTCGAGGCATATGATATATGATTCATAGAGAAAGAAAAGAAGACGAACATGAAAAGAAAGTAGGGTGTGGGTGTGGGTGTGGGTGTGCTGTGGGTGTGGTTTGGGTGTGGGTGTGGGTGTGGGTGTGGGTGTGGGTGTGGGCTTGAGTGTGGGTGTGAGTGTGGGTGTACGTGTGGGGTGGGGGTGGGTGGGTGTGGGTGTGGATTTCAATAGTGTTTTCACTTAGCACCCACACCCTCACTCACCACGCCCATACCCACACCCCAACCCACACGCACACTCACATCCACACCCACACCCACACCCACACCCACACCCACACGCACACTCACATCCACACTCACACCGACACCCACACCCACGAGCTCACTGCGCGTTAATCCATATTCTACCATCAAAATATATCCTTCTTTTACGAGTCATAGTAAATAATAGATTTCTGTCAATATGCTCTGAAATCACCAACACTGTGCCAACAGGCTATATCCTTTCATATTCATATATCCACGTTACCAAACTATACACCTTTTCGTATTCACATATTCACGTTGTCTTATTATATATCTCTTTCACATTCACATATCCACGTTACTTCATTTTGAGATAAGCCTTGGCTCTAA